CATCGGGGGAAAAAAACAAAAAAAAAAACCTTTTGCCTCTTTCTTCTTCTATCACGCTTTCCTATCTCTGCACATGGTTAAACGTAAAATTACCGTCAAATGCATGATAACAATAACACCATACACACATATCACACTTATTCTCTATGACCACACCGGCTGTAGAAACGGCTCATTTATAAGTTTACTCATAACTTACAAAGCATTTTACACTAAGGTTCCAAGTTAAGTCGTACAAATAATTACGCCAAACAAAATTATGTGCCCTCCGCAACCGAACGGAATTTTGCAGAAAAAACAAAACAAAAACGGGTAGGCATTTTTTAAGGTCTTCCTTTCTTTTAAGTACACATTTGAGAAATAACACTTCCGAAATTAACGTTTAAAACATAAAATTTAAAACAGACATTCATTTTTTACCAAAATCGGACCATGACGCACGCTTAAAATCGGTAAATTAAAGGCATATCATTAGATTAAAAGAAAGATATAAGAAAGTAATAAATAAGTATAAATAACTTAAATATAAAATGTAGGTAATTCTGAATATTATTATTGACTATACTTACGCATTATGTATTGCACGAGCTTCATCTAATAATGACGCGTTTTGGTGGTATCGACTGCTGCTATCAGAAGGTCGTGCAACAAATTAATAATTGTCAATTTATATAGCGCATAATGTAAAATACCCTCATCAACAATGTTGATTATTGACAATTGCCTTTGTATAAAATGATAGAAATAGTGAAACTAAAAATAGAACAATATTTTTTATTTTAATAATTCTTCAATACCATTACCAATATCATTACCATTATTGGCTTTTTCTGCGTTAGCTGATAAGGCATTGCTTTTGTTCTGATGTTCTTTTTCTACTTGTATGACGTTTTCCTATTAGTTTAGGACCTGCCTAAATTTTGTATGCGCTTCTTCTTATCGAGTCACTACGTAGCTAGTGTGTATCATCTTGCTTACGTAGTGTGGTAGAAGGATTTGCAGGTAGGATGGATACCTGACATGGGCCGCGACGTAAACGCTCCTTCTGCGACCGGACGGGGACTGGAAATGGATCAGTACACCGGGGTAACCCCCTACTGATCTCGAATGATGTACGGTACCGTACTGGGTTCTTTAAAGTGCACATGAGCCAATTGTGTACACTGGGTTTAAAGTACTTATCCGAGAAGACTTGTTCCACCACCGGAACCATAGGTGAGCGTGCCGTTCGAACCAACGCCGATATTATGGCTGTATGTCACGGTTCCCCTGTCTTAACCGCTCGGCCAACCGGCTCGCCTATTGTATGTGCTTAATTTAGAAGAGAATATCTCAACTGTTATACGGCAAGGTAGCAGTGAGAAATAGAACCTGCGCATTTGTGTATGTTATGTATTAGGCCTATAGAATTGAGAAGCAAATAATAGTATTCTTAATGATAATATATTATGTATATATAGGCCTATATATATATATATTATATATTATATATAATTTGTCATTGCAGGTTATCAATAGAGATTTCAAAGAACGTAAGTTACTTATTTTTACTATAAATTATGATTTAAAAAAATCAATGCTATTAAAGTATTTATAATAGAGTAATTATAAATAAGTTTCTCATTATACCAGAAGATGTCTTACAGGTTGGTTCTACCATTAATGAAGATGTTTACTTTTACATTAGAACAATTTTGATTTGCATTCTACCACATTGTTGGTGCGGCAGCTGTTAATTATTTTTAAATACTTCACGTTATGTGTGAAAACTAATTATAATTCAGCTAGTTAAGATTAGCTGTTTATGACTGTTTTGTAGTGGAATGAGCATTTTGAAATATTTTTTATGGAGAAAAAATGTTGCAAATTTAAATCTGAGAGTACAATTGTATGCGTATGACCGTCGTACGATCCGCTCTTCTGCCTATAGGCCTGGACTGTGCAAAGGCAAATCATAGTATTCATCCCTGTTTCCCCGATGTTTATGGATATTGAAGCGATAATAAAGAACCCCGTTACATCCCAAATGATGAGTTACGGTAACTGGTTCTTTACTGTGCATTATGAAAAGTCATACAAATATCTCTTTTCTTGTCAATTGCCCTTGTTTAAACCGACACATCGATTCACATAAATATCATTCAATCACTTTAAATTTTATATTTTGATATTAAGCCTATTTTACTTAGGATTGTTAACAGCTTATTTGAAATATTTGCATTGTTACAATATGTAAATGCAAAAACTGTTTTTATCTCTTTATGTTCTTTACTGTGCATTATGAAAAGTCATACAAATATCTCTTTTCTTGTCAATTGCTCTTGTGTAAACCAACACATCGGTTCACATAACTATCATTCAATCACTTTAAATTTTGTATTTTGATATTAGGCCTATTTTACTCAGGCGTGTTAACAGCTTATTTGAAATATGCATTGTTACAATATGTAAATGCAAAAAAATGTTTTTATATCTTTAAACAATTGTCATTAAAATTCAGATGGCGTTTATTTTATGGCACGTGAAGATGATTATGCAGATGCAGTCGAATCATGCAGTAACCATTTAGGATCCATTGCTTCTTACGAGCAGTTGCACGACGCGTTTCAACCAAGTCTCGAGAACTGTAAAGAGGGCTGGCTTATCAGTGGAGAGATTGCGTTCACGGAAATAACGGGCACATGCACATTAAGACCGCCTGAACACCGTAGCAATGTGTTTCCTTGTAAAACATATCAGAGTGGGGTTTATTGTCACAAGGAGTATTATCTTCCAGCAGATACATTCGACTATTTACCAAAAACCCAACGGATCATTCGACTGACGGATAGTAACTCGAAGAAGTTGAATGCAGAAGATGCTGAAATATGCTGCCGTACTAAATTCAGTGGTCATCTTGCAACACCTCTTGACGTTTATAATAATAGTCTGTCACTAGGAGTTGGTCTTTGCGTGAAGGGATGGCTCTCAGAGATGTTGGCAGGGGATCCATGTAATGAACATATGCCTCCTGACTTTTGGCTTTTTCCGACAGGTAATACTATTCGCTTCGAGCCACTGACGAACGAATATCCAGCATTTTGCTTCGTTCCTTTAGCAAACCAGACTTTAACATACATTGACCCTTTCCCTCCTCATCGTGTCATGAATGGAGATGGGGAAAGGGTATATTCTTTAAACTACTACGATGCTGATAGTTTGTGCAAGAGTCGCGGCGGTAGAATGGCAACGAGAGCTGAAGTACAATACGCCTGGCAATTAGGATATGACTGCTGCCGTTATAGCTGGGTCGAAAGTGGAGAAGTAATTTTCCCTACAACACAACCCAGAAATGGATGCGGTTGGTCATCTGGAGTTCAAGGCGGTTATGGTGTCCATGATAAGAACGAGTCTTATTCAGTTTTTTGTTATATGCCGTAAAAAATTCAATTATTATTTGGATAATCCCTATGCAGCTTTGTTTCACCTATCGTATGTTCTGATAAGTCATGTAAAAGCTCGCTGGGTGTAGGCTTACGGTCACTGATTGAAAAAATACCGACAGTATTCGTATTTTAGGCCCATAATAAAAGAAATGTATCTTTAGTTTTATTGCATAGGTTATCATGATTGTCATTCTCGATGGAATGTATCAAATTTGATTAATCGAGACCGATTTTAAATTAAGTCTTAACAGGAAACAGAAGAATTATTAATTTTAAAAGAATTAAGTAGGCCTAATGTGAACTATTTTTTAATTTGCAGTGATGCATTGTCATACGTTGTATTAATATAGCTTTATTTAGTGCAGTACTCTACAGAGACGTTCCGCAAACTATTGTCCGCGGCCCAAATTTGGGCCACGAAACATAATTGGAGGGCCGCGAAGCCTGGAAATTAAAAAAAAAACAAAAAAACATTGAGACCGTTTCATCATGAAGAAAATAGTTTTTAATAAAGCCGCTTCATTGTTACAGCGAATGCGTCGCTTGCACACGCTGATAAAGTGCCAGATGATACGTGCTATTTGAGTTATAAACGGTTTTTGTGTCTATGCCCCCTCGGGATCCTAGACACTATGTTATCGTCTAGTAGGCCTATTAACCCTGTAAGATCGAGTAAATCCGGTATGAAGGAATGACGGGATGAATCATGAGCTAAAGACAAAAATAAATATAAGACCTGTCCTAGAAAGATCACTACAGTATACAACACCACACATTTCTTGATAACCGATGGCCATAGGCGTGAAGTAAAAAGTTTGCGGAACGCTGCTCTACAGTATTAGATTTAGGCCTATATCGGCCTATGTTTATTCAATTTGTATGCCATTTTGTCATTTGTATTAGACCTACCCGTACTCGCGCGAATAAGCGCCCCGTTTGAATAAGCGCCCTTCTCGAATAAGCGCGAATAACGTGAACATTTCCCTAAGCGCCCCGTTTGAATAAGCTACCCCTCTAATTTGAATAAGCGATCCTTCAATGATATCATAAGATTTTCTTTTTAGCAAGCCAATAATCCATTAAATTCTGGGACTGTGGTTGTTGGCATGATTGGAGCTGCAGAGTGGAAACACATTCTTCTTAGGTGAATATTAAAATGAGTATATTTCTCTTTCAGATGAGAGCTCCGATCCATGGACAGGCAGTATATTATTTCCAACTTTACTATTTCTACATTTGCCTATGCCTCGTCCTACACCTCTTTTTCTTTTTCCGACCTTTAGCACATTTTCATCTGAGTTTTCAAGAAAAAATATGATCCTGCCATTCTGCACAATGGCCAACAAGCTATAGACCACTACCCACCACTAATTGCATCTGCTATTTTGCTGTTATGTAAATATTCATGAGCCATGTTCTCTGGACGATTATCTTTTCCGCCTAACCACCATTCGTAATGTCCTTTTCATTGAAAAAGTGCCTCTTGAATTTAATAGCTTCCCACAAGAACCCCTCGATTTTCATCTATTTCCATAAGCGCCCCCACAATTTCCACTCTGTTTTCATAAGCGCCCCGTTTAAATAAGCGCCCCGTTTGAATAAGCGCCCATCAGAAAGTTCAAAATAAATATTTTAAGCGCCCGGGCGCTTATTCGCGCGAGTACTGTAATTAGGCCTATTTTCTTTCTTCATCTAAGAATATTGGAATTGCGGGGCGGGTGCCTGGTAAAGGGAGCGAATGTTATGTGGGAGAGAGCTAGAATGTTAAGTGGGGGGGGTGCTAGCTAGCAAAAAAATATGGGTAAGTGAGGTACATCGCTCGAGGTTGAATCGTGCTTCATTAGGGAGCTTTCGATTGCACGACGACGGTAGGACGTAGAACGTAATGACGTCACTAAAAGTCATCTGCGCATGCCAGAACGTTAAGTTCACCTCGCCAAGTAGATTCTGGAACGCAATTCATGGCCCAATCTACGTATGCAGAGAACATAGGCAGGCACGTATCCAGGGGGGATTGGAAAACACTTTTCTAACCACTACACCAAACTGTTTCCACATATATCAGTTCGAAATTAATGGTAATATGTTTGTTTACACTTTACCGGCAGCCCGTATAAGCACACACACGTCTATACGGCAAACACAAGTTTAAAGTTTTTTATTGTTTTTTATTCATTCATTATTTAACAAGACAATACAAAAGAGGCAAACAGGCGAAAAAGCAAAACAGCAATATTATTCAATTATTAAACATTGGTGGAAATCGTCCGACCACACAGTGACGCTACGTTAACTTTCACGTAAGTTTTAAGTGTTTTTTTTTTTAACTACAATTAATAAATATACCAAAATTGCAAAGAGTTGATTAAAATTAGACATTGCAGATAGCAAATTATACATAAATGTATTATAAAAAAAATTATTTATTTCAAATGCAATATATAAATAACATCAAAATTGCACAGAATAAAAATAAATAAAAACACTGGACATTATCATAATACAGAATTATACATTTTTTATAGTTTGCTTTTATTACCTACATAAACAAACAGGAACATTGTGGCCAAGTTTGACACATTTCTGATGTTTCAAAAAATCTTATTTTTTTGTTCATTGTGACCTTGACCTTTAACCCTTACCCTTCAATATTCCAATACTTTGAGAGCTTTGGTCATGGAATATTGTGATTAAAACTATGGGATGTAGACAAATAAATAAAAAAAATATTTTTTTTATTGTGACCTTGACTTTTGACCCTGACCCTTCCAAATTTAATCATCTGTAGATCTTGGGTAAAGAAACATTGTGGCCGAGTTTGATATAATTTCTTATAAGAACTATGGGCTGTAGGTTGTTTACAACAAATATGCCGGTAGACAAATAAATAACTAAATAGATAAACAGGCAAAAACATAACCTCCTGCCAACTTCGTTGGCGGAGGTAATAATTATAGTAACAGTAACAATAATAATAATGATAACAATAATAATAACAATAATAATAGTAATAATAATAATAAAAATAAAAATAATAATAATAATAATAATAATAAATAATAATAATTTTGCCAACAATATTTTCACTATTTTACCCCCACCCATTTTACAACTTTTTGTGAATTTTAGCACTTTGATATACATTTTAGCTTTTTTGATTCGTTGGCGGAGGTAATAATTATAGTAACAGTAACAATAATAATAATGATAATAATAATGATAACAATAATATTAACAATAATAATAGTAATAATAATAATAAAAATAATAATAATAATAATAATAATAATAATAATAATAATAATAATAATAATAATAATAATAATAATAATAATAATAATAATAATTTTGCCAACAATATTTTCACTATTTTACCCCCACCCATTTTACAACTTTTTGTGATTTTTAGCACTTTGATATACATTTTAGCTTTTTTGATGGTTTTGTTTTTGAGTATACAAAAATGTGTTTGCTATTTATGATGTTTTTATATTTACCTGTTTATCAATCACGATCTTATGGTAGAACAGTATTTTATTATTGAATTGAAGTATTTTCTGAATAAATAAAGTTAATATACTGTACTATACAATACCTTGACAAATGTTGATAGCCGAAAGTGTTTGCTCAATTTTCTTTATTTAAATGTTAACACTTTTCAAGCAGTTAAACTAAATTGTAACAATCAGGGGATTTCATATGCATACAAGATAGTCATATCGTGGGTAACTACAAATTGTCAGATCTCATAATATCGCGTACCTAAAAATTGCCACTTATTTCCCCAATAAAATTCGTGACTATATGACCATGCAAGCATGGAATATTTTTTTTATTGTCAACTCTGAACACTTCCCTTTGTCTACAACATTTTCTTTAATTAATCAACCATCTCCTGGTCTTTCGGTCTCCTCCCATTGCGACTTGTTCAACTTGTATGGCTCTGTGTTTACCTACCGGTATAAATTATTATAATTATTAAATGACTATTGTGGTTGAAATGGTAACTAATAATGCCATTGTATAATGTATTCATTAATACTATTGAATAATTTATCATTTTATAATCATTACTGTACTTATAAAGTTGGTCAACATAAAGTAGAGTTTAATTTTTACCGTCGCGCCAATTACACTGGCATGATAACATATGAAGGAACTGGGCCGAAAGTAATCTTCGAAAATCATTTGTAAAATTTCATGATTGATACTGTTTTCGTTCTGATTGGTATGCCTCTTACACATGGACACATCATACTTAGTCGATTACAAGTTATCATCACTTTCATTATCCTCATAATTAGTTATCATCATCATAATCACCCTCATTTTCTTCATAATCATAATTATAATTGAAATCATAAATTAAAATAACAATAGACTAATTATATGATATAATTGATATTACAGTATTTGAGTTTATTCGGAAAATCATTGCACAAACATTTACATCAAACATTGGTAAAGGAAAGAAAATAATATAGGCCTAATAGAGAATAAATATCAAAATAGAAAGCGTAATGAGATTTCGCAGGATAACCCAATAAAGCCTAAATGTTTATTTCCATTAAGGTCCAATATAAAATCGATCTATACTATGTTATTTTACATTTACTGTTAGTTTCAATCCGACAATAGTAGTTATTGAATACGATTGGCGCATACCGTACTCCTTAATTATTATATATGCGCTACAGTTTGT